AAGCGCAAAGCGGCCTCAGCGGAAGGGGAGGTGGTGGCTGTCTGAGCTTAGGTGGTGGGGTGGGTGAGACCCCAGGGAGCCGAGCAGGGGGCTGTCGGGCGCTGGCACCCGAGGTGGCGGGCTGCGCCGTTCCCATGCCTGCACTGCTGGGAGCATTCCGCCAGGAGGCCCGGCTGTCAGCCTGAAATAAGCCATACTTTCTGCTGCCTGCAGCCGCGCGGGGCGGCTGGCGCCTCTGGCCTGATGGATGGCTCTGTGCAACCTGCAAGGGGGTGCGAGGCGGTCCCCTGAGGGACACTTTGTTCTTGAATGTCAACCTGACAGCTTATTACACAGTGATGGAGAATGGGAGGTTGGGGACAGAGGCGCCCGGTGTTCCTCCCTCTGCTCCTGTGGCGAACCCCTGACTTGGGGGGGGGGGGAGGTCGCCAGCCTTCACGTCTTCAACCATACCTTAGTGGGAATGGGGCTGGGGGGTGTAACACCCTTTTATTGCATAGCTCTGAGATAATGTGCTCATGCGACTAACACGATCTATGCACACTGTAGCCCCTCAGAAAGCACCAAATAGACCCCCTGATAACGTCCTGCAATCGGCTATGCAGGGTAGCTAATGGAGTCGAGACTAGGCTCATTTGGGCAGGCAAGCGAAAAAGAATGAGAACCACTAAGCAGTCCTCCACCCCAGGCTGATTTTCATCTCCCCTACACCATCCATGGGGAGCTTGGGGATGTACCCTTCCTTTGCAGGGTGTCTATGAGATAGTGGACTGGAAAGGCTGTTTGATATGGTTGGGATGGGGCTTTCCTGTAAATGCCTGCTTCATCTCTGGACCCATTTATACAAGAGGCCTGTGCTGCACAGGACTGAGGTTGACTTTGAACAAGAATGTCCTCTCTCCTCGAATGGAATACCCAGAGCAGGGACCTGGGTAGGGCTGCCTCTTGCAGGCAGGAAGGCAGCCAACTGGGGACACCTACCTCCTAAGCCAAGACCCCAGCCCTTTTGTGCTCCACATAGTGCTCCGCCACACTTGGGCCTCGCGTACCTCTTATAGGCTGTTGGCATTTCTCACCAATAGGCCAGTTGGCAGCATTATGATAAATGGTGAAGAAACTAAGATTATTAACAGCTTCAGTTTGCTTGGCTCAATTGATACTCTTGGTACCAGCAGCCAGGAAATGAAAAGACAAATTTCTCCAAAGTGCTAAAGAGCAACAATGTCAGTCTGGAGACTAAGGTGCGTCTGATACAGGCCATGGTTTTTGCCATTACTTGCTATGCATCAGAGAGCTGGGCAATGACTACAGATGATAGGCGAGTTGATGCCTTTGAGCTGTGGTGCTGGAGAAGAGTATATACCATGGACTGCTAGGAGTACAAACAGGTTTGTCCTGGAGAGGGTGTGAGCAGGCTGCCCCTCGGAAGCAAGGATTCTGAAGCTTCATCTGAAATACTTTGGACATGTTGCAAGGCGGGGCCAGTACTTGAAGGGGGTCATGCTTGGGAGAGTGGCGGGACAGCGCAGGAGAGGAAGACCCTCTATGAGGTGGATTGATTCAGTGGCTGGGGTAATGGGAGTAGGTGTGTCAAAGACAAAGAGATTGGCACAGGATAGAGCAGGGTTTAGAAATGTTGTACATAGGGTTGCTATGAGTAGCATGCAACTCGATGGCACGTAACAACAACAACAATTTTCCAAAACATCCTGAGCTGTTCTCTCACACTCTATAGCCATAACCAGTGGCTGTCAGGGCTGGCCTACTCTCAGGACAGAAATCAGCAGTCAGGCTCACCTAACCTAATATGTGGGGCCGGGGCCAAAGGAGTCAGGCTCGTAACCCACTGCCCTAGAACACTATGCAAACGCCTGTGGATTTTATTTTCTTCCAAATTGTCATCAAATGTATTCATATTTATGGCATGCCCATATACTTCACAGCAGACCTGCACTCCACAGGGTTCTCAATGGCTATGATCTTTTCAAGTAGACCTCCACTCTTGCCTTCCTAAGTGCCTCTGAGAGGACTTGAACCTCCAACCTTTCAGTTAGTTGCCAAGTGCTTAGGCATTTTTAAGCCATGCGAGGACTTGAACCTCCAACCTTTCAGTTAGTTGCCAAGTGCTTAGGCATTTTTAAGCCATGCAGGAACTCTTTGAGCTTTATGTTTCTGGCCTGTCAACCTCTGCCTCCCTTCTCCACAAGCCCGGCTGACCTCAGTGGAGAACTGGGGGAAGCCACTCACCAGCAGCAGGCATGTGTCAGACCCCAGCATTCCCTGCTCCCCACCTCTGAGGCACCCCAGCAGGAAGAGCAGGCTCTGGCGCAGCAGTCCGCTCCCCTTTCCACCCTTGCTCCATGAGACTTGTCAAGCCCTTCAACAGCTCTGTAGTTGTGCTTGTTTTTTTGGATTTGCATGCATCCCAGGAAGCGAAAGAGCAGCAAAGGTAACCACAACCCCGTTCTTTTGGCCTTGGTACAGTCTGTGGTTGCTGGCAGAGCTGGGCTCTCTTCTTCACGGACTTGCACTGCAGCCTCTCCAAGCAGAGGAGTTAGGCTCCAGGGAGCCCTGAGGGGAGGAGATGGTCCTCCGTGAGAACTGGCCTGCCTCCTGTTCACACGGGTGATGCCTGTTCTGAGGCAGTAATTTCTCTACAGCCTCATGCTGGAGACAGGCAGCGAGTGACGTGGTGCAGGAGAGAGGACACCAGGACTGACTCAGGTTAGGAGAACTGTACTTTTTAGATTATGAAAAGGATCAAGCGGGTGGTGAGGTCTGACCTTTCCTGATCACGGGCTTAGCCTTTTTTTTGCGGCAGTAAATAGAGTCCAGGGTCGCCCAGAACCTGAGAAGTGTTGCTGGGTGTGCTGTTGCAGCTAATGCATACACAGACTTTTGGGGGCACTAGACCCTCAGTGAGATGGACTGATAAAGTGATTGCGGCAATGGGCTGAGATGTTTGGGATAAGAATGGCGCAGGACAAGGCTCAGATCTGTCGTTCAGAGGGTCATTGTGAGCCATACACGACTCAGTGGCACAACTTGGCTGTCTTGGACCTCCGGTGCTGTATCCCATTTACCCGGGTGCGGCTTAAACCAAAGGTTGTGCCTCTCTGGCAGCCAGAATCCGACAGCAGCGCCACGGAAGAAAGATGGTTGGCTCCTGCCAAGTGATTGACAGCTGAGAAACCCAATGTGGGGGGGGAGGGAATATCAGCTCTGAGTCGGTTCTGATCCCGGACAATGAGAATGAGAGATGGGGTGACTTATGAGTTGATACCTGTTTCTTAGGAAACTACCAGCATCTATACTCTATTTTCTAAGAATTTCCTTTTGTTTGATAGGCTGACCTGGGTAGCCTTGACGGTTAACCAAAAGGTTGATGGTCTAAGTCCACCCAGAGGGACTTAGGAAGGAAAGCTGGTGATGGGCTTCTGAAAAACAAACAAATAAACAACCGAAAGAGCCACTGAAAAGTCCTTGAGAGTATTTCCGCCCTGACACACACAGAGGCACCTGTGCGTGAGTCAGCCCTGATCAGAAGAGCAACTGGCTAGTATTTGGGAAAGTTTCTTTTGAAAATTCGTTGCCTGACTCAGTGGCTAACAAAACCAGTTGAAGGGACTGTACTCACCCTGGAGTTTGTGGGAGAATGTGCAAGGAGGCCCCTGGGGGGAGCATGGTGCTCAAGTCCTTGGGGGAGTTAGGTGCCCTCAACTCGAATACAACCCTAAATAACTGCTCTGAATCCTATCCTGGGCCATCCTCATCATTTCTGATACACTCAGGGTCAATCCATCTGGTGGAGAGTCTACCTCTTTTGCTGACGCTCCATCTTCCCAAGCATGACGTCCGTCTCTGAGGAAAAGCTTCTCCTAACAACATACCTGAAGTGTGTGAGTCGAAGCTTTGTCACCTTTGTCTCTCAGGAGCACTCTGGCTGCACTTTCTCCGAGACATAGCTGTGTGTTCTTTTGGAAGTCCGTGGGATATTCAGCACCCTTCTCCTGAGAGGCCCCGTCAGAGCTTCACTTCCTCTGGGCTCCAACTTTTTTGAGGTTTGTGATTTGGCTTCACTTGCCAGCATTTAAGAGCTCAAGATGCTTTTTAAAAAGCTGACATTTCTGAGAATCGGGCTGTGGAGCAGAGCATGGGTGCATGCTAATCACCTACCCAACTGCCACCCTTGAGGCCGGGGTGTGGGCCCATGCCCCTACTTCCAGTGGGAGCTCTCTGAGGGAGGGGGGAGTGGGGAAAACTTGAGGTGCAGGGCTCTGTCCCCAATACAGCAGGTACCAGGACAGCCACTTCTTCCCCACCTTGCTCACTGCTCATCTGCCCTGGCAGCCCCACGCAGCCTGCAGGCCAACCCCAGCTCCTGGGCTGCCTCGTCTCAGAGTTCCATCTCAGTCCCTGCAGAAAGGAGCAAGGCTGTCAAGACACAGATATCTGGGGGAAGGGGCTTTGGGGATGGCAGATTAAAGCTGCTGGGTCTTTGGGAGAAGAGACATTTCTAACTGCCCCACCAGCTACATTTCTCAGAGGGAGAGCAAAGCCCTCAGCACCTCCTGCAGGGCAGGCCAGGGCTTCTTTGCACAGCTGTGACCCCTCCCTTCAGAAGGAATCTAACACTGAGCTCAGGAATCTCAGCGGCCCGCATTTTCAGGCATTGGAGCTGGAGGGACAGCAGCGTGCCCAGCTCCTGCCCTCCAAGTCCATGGTGGCCTGGCGACCTTAGGCTGGCTCCTGACGGGGTCTCCATCTCCTGCCGAGGTTCTGAAGGTGAGTACTCAGAGGCGGAGGTAAGGGCTGCAGGAGGAGGTCTGGCCTGGGTAGGAGCCACGGGGTGTGCTCTGAGGCATTTTGTGGGTTCCCCGGGTGAGGGGGGGGCTGGACACGGAGTCAGTAGAGTGCAGGGCCCTAGTTGAGCTGATGCTGCTCTCCAAGCCTGGCAGTGGGGCTCTGAGCTTCAGTCCTCAGAGGGGCAGGAGTGACCTTTAGTAAAAATGCATCTGAAGCCTCCGATGCAAGCAGCAGGTGAGAATCATCCCGCAGATCTGCCAGGTGGAGAGAGGAGAGGAGCAACGAGCAATCAGAGCCCCCGTCAGAGCCCGTACTACCACCCCGCAGCGCCCCAGGCCAGCACTTCTCACTCTCCAGAGCCCACTCGCCAACCTCCACCCAGGTCCTTGATAAAGGGCGGTTCCCTCCCTGTCGGTCTGATGTGGAGCTGGGACTCTGCACACCTCACCCATGTCCAGGTGACACTCTCTGGCCACCACACTGCCCAAGAGCAGCATTTCTCGCACTTCAACTTGCATGAGTTGCCTGGGGACCTTGTTAAGTGGTGGATTCTGACTTGACAGCACCGGGCGTGTGTGCGCCTGAGACTCTGTATTTCTAACAAACTCCCAGCTGGTGCTGGTGGTCTGTGGCCCTAGATCTTCTGCGATGACCCTATTTAATGAGGTCCCAAGGGGTGATGTTTTCACTCCCTCATTAGAACCATCTGGAGCGGTCTTCTCTAGCAGTGAGCCTGTTGGCATCTCACTGCCCTCAGACCTCAGAGCAAAACCAAGGTCCACAGTCAGTGCTCTGGCTGATCTTCAGAAGCTGTGGGGGAAGCTGGGAGGAGCAACTGTCACTATCACCAGCCTGTCCTGTAACTGGAAGGGCCACCACACCCACGCCCCAGGCCTCCTGCCTTATAGCCCTGTTTCTCCATCCAAGAGCTGAATCGGGGTCCTCAATATCAGTCCACATACAGGTCTCCTTGGAAAAACCACTCACCCCCCACACCCTGAGTATGTGGGCGGGGAGCTCTCACTTCACTCATCTCGAAAATGCACAGAACTTTTATTCCTCCACCATTCCCTGTTTCTCCTTCTTCCTTTTACTTTTCCCTCCTATGGAAGAGGATAAGAGCTAGGTTTCTGGAAAGAAGATTTTGCAGGATGACATGTTACTGGGTCTCAGCTGCACACAGCAAAGGGCGCCTGGGGTGGTGGAGGAGGGAGAAAGGTGAGAGGACAGGGCCTTTTCCAGGTAAAGGAAACAATGCCCCAACTTTTCAAACGGCTGCTGCTGGCTGAACCAAGGCATCCTGGGAGGTGGCCGGGCTGTGTGTGTGCTTATGGGCTAGTGAGCCCGTGGCGGGGCTTAAGGGGTGCACAGGGCATCAGCCCTTCCTCCTCCTTCATTGTCAATGAATCTCTGTCTAACCTGGTTTGGAATGAGATGTGTGGACACTGGAGAACTATGACTGCAGTTTTCTGCATTGGTGCTAAGAGTGTGTGAATCCACGTTGGCCACTCAGCGTCACAAGCTGGAAGGTGGCTTTCGTGGTCATCTCATCTCCTACGAGCTGTAAGCAAGTGGCTGTCACAGCTCTCCACCCAGGTGCCATGCAGCTTGGCCCTTCCTTGTCCCCACCTCATGGTGTGGTGGCACCTTGCAGGGTCATGAGGGAGTCTCTGGTCCTTGCTCAGGAAGCACCCAGAAGGGGACAGATGGAACAGAACGGGCTTGATGATGGAGGCTGTGTCCATCTTTCCGAGAGGGTGCATCTCATGCTGAGAAGCACTCACAGGAAGCACCTTGGCGTGAGATGTGTTCCCAGCCCACCGCCCAGGAAGGATGCATTTACCAAACACCAAACTGTGTGTGTGTGTGCACATGCAATACTGACCAATGTAGATGTGTAAAGAATGGTCTCAGCAGTGCACGCGCCCATGCACTCACATACACACACACTCCCTGGATTCGTGCAGAGATAACATTGTGCACATATCTACATACACAAATGTGAACACGAACACCACCCGGAGCATGCGGAGAGGCCACACATGCGCTCATCAATATGTGCGCACACACCCACGCACATACGTGAGCACAAACCCCTCACTGATGCGTGCAGAAGTCACGCATGCTCCATCAGTACATGTGAACACACGAGCATCACAGACACACCACACCATTCACGCACAGAGCTGGGAGGAGCTGACCCACCAGCACCTCCTCACCGACAGAGGAAACCAGACAGCACGGGAGGTTCTGTGCAGCCAGCTCTGGGCTGAGAATAGACCACGTGACAGGTTAACTGCAGGAGCTGGCGATGGCCGAGGTTGAGGGGTGGAGCTGAGATGGACTGCTGGGGCCAGCCTGCCGGGATGCAGCTCAAGGGCCGTATAAGGGACATTTGAACAAGGTGGCCACTGCATTTAGCTTCTTACAGAATTTCTGTGTTGGCACCTAGATGCCATCAGAAACATCAGGGAATGGTCAGGGCTCCAGGAAGACATACCTCTGAATGACCAGTGCATCCCAGTTTGGCCTGTGCTGTGCATTTTCTGGGCTCTGAACTAAAGCACGTTTCCATCCCACATGGGGGGGAATGCTGGATGGTGTGGTTGGCTTCTCTTTGGAGCCTGCATCAGTAACTGTGTAATCTTGGGCACAATTACTTTCCTTCTTGGACCACAACTTCCCCCTCAATTATAAAGGAAATCTCCAGTCTGTTCCCTGGTGAGAATCTTGAAAAATTAGGAAGACAGCTGAACGGTACCAGCACTACTGTGCCCACCCCTTCCTGGGATTCCTAGTGTTGCGGAATAAACTAGAAATTGACTCGTTTACTGGTTCCACTTGCCCTGCAGCCACTGGGAGCCACAGCCCTCTGAATAAAGTCTCCCGCTCCACATCGGCCAGCCGGGCCGACTCCTTCACTCTTCCCTCCTGTCACCTCTGTCCTGTTCCTACATTACGTTATTCTCCTGAGAACCTTCTCTGACTGTGCTACTCTGTTAGTGTCCTCAGTTGCTTTCCTAAGTCCATGGCTCACAATGACCAGGGTCCAGGACCCCCTGCCTTCAGGGTATCATCCCATTCACGTGTCTGTCTCCTCCTCGCAGATGAAAGCACTTAGGAGGGGGAACCAGGCCCTGGCCGCTTTGCCTCAACACCAGGCATGGCCTGACACCTGGTACAGAGCAGACAGACCACTTGTCCCTTAGCCTTCCTGCATAACTCCTGGGACTCTGGGAGCAGGAGAAGAGAGTCAGACACTGTATGCCTTGCACGTGGAAGGCACTCAGCCAAAAGTCTAGAAATGAGCCTCTAAAGGTTCCTCAATGTGGAGTGCCACTAGAATCCACTCACAAGGGCGGAAACTGTTGAACAAAGAGACCCAGAGTTGGGTCTAGTGTTCAGGTGACCTCGAGCAAGTGATTACTCGGTATGACTTGGTGTGGTATCCCTGAGTTCAAGCATATGAACAAGTTGTGCTCTGTTGGTCTCAGCCCTGATTACATTTGGACCACTAATGGGGATTACTTTAAAAAAAAAAATCCCCACACAGAGACCTCATCCCAGACAGTGTACCACAGCATGTTGGGAGGTGGGATCTGAGCTGGTGGAGAAAAGTAGCCCTGGCCAAAGTGGTCTGTGGGTCCTTCCAGGCCCACAGGTCTGTGATTTGTTTATACACATCAGGACCCTGGCTGCCCCCTCCAGGTTGGAAACCCCCTCAAGTGTGAGGTTCCCCAAGGTGGGTACCAGGAGCCCTCAGCTTCTCACTAAAATTAACAAGTGAGCTCCCTGAGAGCATAAACTCAAGAGGGGAAGGGACCACTTTGAAGGGAGGAATTTCCCTTCTCAGTATCCTTGCCTGCCTGTAATCTCTGCTTCACCTTGAAGTCAGTGAGTTTTATAGTTGAACAATTATAATTACTCAAATGACCTGGAATCTGTCTCTTTGTAAATCCTACCAATTGTTCCCTTTTATCCTGAGGCCTCCGAGAAGAACACTTCTTGTGCCTGTGACAGCCTTAGGCTGTTTAAAGGCAGTGACCACGAGGCTTTCCCTCGGGCTCTGCATGCCCCTCCCACAGTCAATGTTCAGGTCCCGCAAAGCACCTTGTTCCTTCCTCTGGGCCAGTGATTTTCAGCCTCCACTGCACATAAGAAAACAAACCAGCAAAACCAAACTATATGCTGTCAGATGGATTCCAGCTCACAATGAGGCCTTGTATGACAAAGCAGAATAAAGCTTCGTAGGGTTTGCTGCTTCCAGAAGTCGATTACAGAAGCTTTTCCCCAAGGGATCCTTGGATACGTTCAAACTGTGAACCTTTTAAAATCACTGGGAGCCTTGGTGGCTAAGTGGGTTATGTGCTGGTTTGCTAACCGATAGGTCAGTGGTTCAAATCTACCAGCTGGTCTGCAGGAGACAGATGACAGCTGGTTTAAGCAAATATGTTTTTTAAGAGACATAAACACAGGTTATGTACATGGATTTCACCTGATGGTATGCATAGGAATCAGATTGATTACATCTGTGGAAAGAACCACTGGAGAAGCTCAATATCAGCTGTGAAAACTAGGCCAGGAGCTGATTGTGGAACAGACTACCAACTACTCATATGCAAGTTCAAGCTGAAGCTGAGGAAAATTAAACCAAGTCCACGGGAACCAAAATATGACTCTGAGTCTATCCCACCTGAATTTCAGAACCATCTCAGGAACAGGTTTGAGCCCTTGAACACTAATGAGTGAAGACCGGATGAGTTGTGTGAGGATATCAAGGGTATCATCCAAGAAGAGTGCAAATGGTCATTGCAAAGACGGAAGAGGAAGAGAAGACCAAAATGGATGAAGAGACTCTGAAAATTGCTCTGGAGCGCAGAGAAGCCAAAGCAGAAGGAAGAATTCAAGATACTAAAGAGTTGAATAGAAGATTTCAAAAGGCAGCACGGGATGACAAAGCAAAATATTACAATGAAATGTGCAAGG